CTTAAACTTTCTTTTAGTGGGTACAATAGGCTGTCTGGATTGCTCATCGATAGGGTTTCTCTTTGCTAAGGAAAAATTTCTTCTTTGTCATTTTTATATCTTTCTAGAACACATCCAGAGAACTTTTAAAATCTGATTTTTTGGCAGTAGAATAAAACTGCATTCACTTCAGATGGGAAAACTCTAAAGTTTATTTCCATCCACACAGAAAAAAGGCTGCATAATTAACTCCACCTTCAAGAAATTTCATTGGCTTTGATTGAAGAAGTAAAACGTCTTTATTCATATTTTAAAAATTAATGAAAACACCACTCTGACACATCAAAAAGGATGGAATTAGTGCGTTTTCCAAATTCTTATTATATTTCACAGCATTGAATGCGTTTGGAAGTGTCCGACTAATGGCTTGCTGAAAGGTTACCATCAAAAATAGTTTAAACCTCAGCTAATTCAGACTGATTACCAAATCTTTCTTTTTCACCTTCTTCTACTACCTCATCCACAGTAACTGTAACAACATCTCGAGTATCCTAAGATTTTGTTACTATGACTGCTCTGTCATACCACAAATCTTTAACACCTACGTATACAATAGTACATGTATTTAAAAAAAACAGTAATTACTGGAAAGAGAAGGCAGTATCTTGAAAAAAGTGTTCAGGTAAACATGTACAGTACATTCAGAATTTATTATGTGTATGTTGCTATGCATGATACTACGGAGAACATTTCTATAACAGAAATATGCAATTTAAGGAACTGTAAACCAGCAAATTTTTGCACTGTGTTTTTTTTTTTTGTGATTTGATGACTGAATCTTAATTGTTGCTGTTATCAGATTAAGATTGGTGTGATCCTTTACGCATTATTATAAATGACTTAAAAACTCTACAGCGGTGCATGTAAAAAGTTATTTGATTTAATTAGGTAAAATTAAACATATACATTAATGTTTGCTTGTAAAAACAATAAATAATTAATAGGGGAAGAATTGTCTAATCAAGGTGCAAGGATTATGACTAAATAATCAATATTTTGATCATAGTATATTGAGTAGCAGATACAACATAGTATTCTTTTTTTTTAAATGTTTAAAATGTGTCATTTACCTATCAGTTACAAGAATTGTTTATATAACAATAATTTACTTTTGGATGTAAGGGGTCTTCTGATTGCCTGACAGGGTTTGTCAATCAGCTCGAAGACATGATTATGTCATGTGACCGTGACGTTATCGCCGTTTTTTTCATGATTTACTCTGTCTTAAAAGGAAATTTAGAATTAAATTATAAGGAATGACTAATGCTTTTTCTGTCTAATCGAAATAACACTGCATATTATTCGATGTAACTCGAATCTATATTCTGGCCTGCAATAATATGTCTCTTGTTAAAACGTGCATTGCATATTATTGCAGGTCATACTAGAGTCGAGTTATATCGATTAAAATGCAGACTAATTCACAATAGTCGAGTAAAAGTCGATACGGTCAAGTACAAATACTGTTTATTCCAGACTTTAACTGGTTTGTAGTGTATGTCTTTTGAGATCTCAGAAAATTTGAGATTACGCGGGTAAACTGTGCATAGTATGCTTAACATCCTTTGTAGCCAGGTAATATATGTATTTTCTTTTGTTTCCTATTCTGACATCGGACTTCTCTTATACTGAGTTTTACTGTGCGTACTGTTGTGCGTTTGTTTTTTCTACATTGGCTAGAGGTATAGGGGGAGGGTTGAGATCTCAATCAACATGTTTAACCCCGCCGCATTTTTGCGCCTGTCCCAAGTCAGGAGCCTCTGGCCTTTGTTAGTCTTGTATCATTTTTGATTTTAGTTTCCTGTGTATAGTTTAGAGTTTAGTATGACGTCCATTATCACTGAACCAGTATACATATTTGTTTATGGGCCAGCTGAAGGACGCCTCCGGGTGCGGGAGTTTCTCGCTGCATTGAAGACCTATTGGTGACCTTCAGCTGTTGTCTGCTCTATGGTCGGGTTGTTGTCTCTTTGACACATTCCCCATTTCCATTCTCAATTTTATGAATGTTAAACTCCTCAGGTATAATAAGAAATACATAAAGTAGCTACATTAAGATGAGTAAGAAATCTTTTTTAATCATGAATCACAATTAGAAATGTTATTACGATGATACATATTCAAAATAAGCATAAACAGGATCTGCCCTATAGCGCAATGACTTTAATTGCAATATCTGACCAGTAAGAAGAATCAAATGAATACAATAAGCAAATGAATGCGCAAAGAAACAGCCATGAACTCAAAACTGAGTGTATGCCTAAGTGAATAGTCAATTTGTATACTAATATCAAATAGACAATTAAATCAACCAGCGTTCTAGTTAAGTTATTTACTTTGTTGAGCATGTTGAGTATACATTTGATCTGTGATACCTGAATGCAAATACATAGTTAATAAAAATTATAAGGGATAAATAAGTAAGGTCAAAAGTAAATAAACAGGACAAAGTATGATACCACTGTGAACAATTTTTAGAAAATCATTACTTTTGAAAAAAAAAAACTGCGTCATATTATACACAGGTAAATGAAAATAATTTTGTTGTAACGTATACATCTTCTTCTGTGTGTATAAAATCTTCCGTTTAGGAATACCTAGAAATTTTCTTAATAAAACTAATCTAACACTTGGTACATAAGGGGTGAATATCAACAATAAAACTACAATGAGTGCTAGATAAAACTTCCTGTACAGGTGGAAGAACAGTATTTAAGGAGAAATGAAATAATTTTGATGTTCATAGTACGAAGAAGTGAAAGTTTATAGTAATACAAAATAATCAAAGCTGGTATATAAACAAGATCCATGTTAACATTAAATAACAAAAAAGCATTACAACTAGTATCAACAGGTCAAATTAAAAAGAAAGTACGATTTGAGAGTATTCGCAGTTACTGACAGCTAGTTAAAAGCCAAAACAATTAATAATAAAAAAATCATGTATCAAAGACTGAAATCAACTAAAATACATCCCAGGGATTTAGTATTTTAACGTCATGAACAGTCAAAGAAGACATGACTAGTGCAATGCCAAATATAAATGTATCGACAGATAGTAGGATTGACTTCTTTATAGTATAGTATGCATTTTCTTATAAAATTGAGAATGGAAATGGGGAATGTGTCAAAGAGAAAACAACCCGACCATACAGCAGACAACAGCCGAAGGCCACCAATGGGTCTTCAATGCAGCGAGAAACTCCCGCACCCGGAGGCGTCCTTCAGCTGATTATATATAAAATAGTTCAACAGATTGAAAAACTGAAAATTAACTATTGATAAATATATTCTTGTTTCGTTTTTAAAATACAAGACATGTGTGTTGATAACTGTTTGTTAACACAAATATCCAAATTCATGTTATGACCATATCCTCAGTGTCCAATATCTTCTTGCTACAGTTCCATTAAGTTGTGGGTAGCAGAAACTCTGCAGGGGAATTGATGGGAGATTATATCGAACACTCCTGTAGTACCAAAATGGGGATATACCTTTTCCTACGGATTCCGAACAAAAAAAAATACTTAACGTCTTAAGCCAACAAAAAACCCAATGACTTAGTAAAACAAACCAATCAAGTCTATGTCATAAATTAGCAATTAGATGTTAGGCTATCAACGCCTATCATGATGGAGAATACACATCAAAGACTATAAGACCTCTGCATTGAAAATATTAAAAACAAAATAACTCAATATTTCACATACAATCCTGTATATCACATTTTGGTACCCTACCAACACTATAAACAGACAATGGGTGGGACGAGGGTGGGATAAAAATAACTACAAGAACAGGCTATAAACAGACAATACAGTACAAACGTTGACTATTCTGTCAAACGTTTACCTTCTCATTGAGTGGATATTAAACAAATGAGACAGAATCACATGTACTTCCGCTTAAGTAAATTGGCCAATGAGGTTATGACCATATCCTCAGTGTCCAATATCTTCTTGCTACAGTTCCATTAAGTTGTGGGTAGCAGAAACTCCACAGACTTCCTGAAGATGAAACCCAATCTAAAATACAAAGGCCCAATCCATATATAATGCCTCTTCCCAAAACTCAAAATAAAACATTTCTTCTTTCTTAATATAATTTATTACATAACAAAGGTTGTACAGATAACATAGTTATACATTACAAAGAATCACAAAATTCATGCACGAGTATTTTATAAATTTTACAATGAATTACTCGTGCAATTACACATTCACCAATGGCTCCCAACAGCTTAACTGATCCCGTAGCAATTTTCTCGCAAAGTTCTTTTGAAATAAAATCAACATGTTGCTTACAAATTTTTAAATTTTGAAAATATTGATTTGGGGGAATATCAAAACCATAAAAACGACCCTTAAAATTTCCTTTAAAGTGTCTGAAAAAATCTGTACATTTATTAACCATTTTAGAATATCTTTATTATCTGTCCCTTCTAGAATATCTTTCCAGTTTGACAAATGATGATGAATCTGACCGCTTAGAAAGAGATCAGGATCACGCAAAGGTAAAGTCCCACTATCAAAATGAACACCACATGCACCATTCAGAACTTTTTCAGCCGATGGAAAGTGTGTTGTAAGTGAAGGAATTTCACCTCCAAGTGTTACCCATGCTGGTTCTTGACGTACTTGTACTTTTTTGTGATTAAAAACAATTTCCATTTCCCTTTCCGGAACATTCATGATTAATGAATTTAAACTTCCCAATGTTTTACTATTCTGAAGAGAAAAATAAAAACACTCTCTATATCCAAAAACCAACATAAGAGCACTTAAAGGAGAATTCCCTTCACCTACATTCCACGTGCAACATGTAGAACCACTAGGGTATCAGTGACCCTTGAATTGTAAATGAAGACATTTCAAATAAAGTAAAATAAAAACCATAATAATTCACAATAATTCTCTTATTGAAAATATAAAAAGATACTAAAAAACATTATTTCCCCCTTTGCAGCCTTCATTTTGTCACAGTTTCTTATCTGATGACTTGTACTATCCCAAAACAAACAAGCACCTCTCTGACGTATTCCAAAATTTCGAGGTCTGCCCCTATAACCATTAAAGCCACCTGGATACATCATGATTAACCCGTCTTGCAGCTTTAGAAAGTTCCTCCAGAGTAAGTAATATGAGTGAATTGCTAGGATTATCTTGCAGACAAAGTGTCCTCACCTTCTTTAAGTTTTTAACTTCTTTTTTTTTTGTGGTATTCTCTAAGCTAGCAGTCCTAACCTCCAAATCATCCCTCTTTCTTTTATTTGTCCCATTGTTGTCACTACTACTCTGCAAATTATCACCACTTCTCTGCACATTGTCACCACTTCTCTGCACATTTACGGAATTACCACTAGTAGTGGGGGGTCTTAAAAATAAAAACAAAACCACTATGATATCAATATTAACACACATTAAGTAACATCAGTGAATCTATATAAATATCAAAATTCTGTGTAAATTACTTCAGTGTGAATCTAAAGCAGTAATTATGTATTCACCAACAAGACAATTTTACATTTCAGCTAAATATTGCTTGTTATGTGGTACAAGTTGTTGCTCGTAATTGAAGGCCACACAAAGACCCAAGATGATGGCAATGTTCAATTACTTTCTTAAGTTATTATCTCATTAGCACATACTATGTATCATTTCTTTTCATATTTAGAAATTATTTCTAGTTTGATCATTTGTTCGTCTTCTAAGCTTGTCATCCTAGGCAATGTGCAAATTTTTATGCATAAAATTCAACAGATTAAATTTTATCTGCCAGCCAAGACATAACATTCAGAGTACAAGACGTAGAAATGACTTACTTGATCTTGCGACTGGATTAAATCTTGTCCACTGGGTTGTCTGTATTCATTTGCATACAGTATCAAACAATGTGTGGCCCACCTGGCTTCCTCAACTGTATCACCTCTTTCAGCAAATTGAAGTAAATCTTGTAGTTCTTCACCCGTTAAATCGAGAACCTATTCAATAATATAAAACAAATATGTGAGTTAAAAACTTAACAGAGCTTTTATTTTACTTGTTGTACTAACCTTGCCGACTTTAAATAAAACTTATTTATTTCATTACAAAGCACTTAACTTAGTTTCTTATAATTGTCTATAAACGTATTACAATAATAGGAAAGATAAAAAATGTCAAACAATGAAATGATGAATAGTACAAACCTGTTGCCTCAGATCATCCATGTATAAATCATTCAATTTTTTATCCTTTTGAAAACAAGCAAACTCCTTTAAGCTCTGTGGTTGTCCTCCTCTTATTCTCTTATCAGCCGCCACTAGCCGTACCCCTTTTAATGAGTGTCTACGTTTGAAACATGTGGGTAAAACCATCTGAAAGTAAATACACAACTATCTACACAACTGTACACACACTGTCACAAGCCTAGACATCACATGACGTCGCGCACCTGCTGAGGGAATTCCCCTTAATCAATATATACTTTTCCTCCGCTATTTGGAGTACCACTACGTAATAAACGAACATAGGCAAATGTATTTTTCCATTAAAATCTTTTAAAAGAACGAACAACCATTTGTTTTTTAAATTGTATATATTATTTTTAAATCCTAGAATTCAACTCAACATAATGACTCTTTAATAAAATTTGTGATGACACGTGTCGAGCACACCCTTCGCCACGACGGGATTTTGAACTGCCATAAAAAATTTTGACTTAATTCCTCATTAATTTTTTTTTAAAAACTAGGAAAATGCACATATTTTAGCAACCAGTTTGGTAATACAAATATATAATACAAATGTTAAAAACATTGGCCCTTATAATTAATTATCTTTACACTCGACCTCGTGTCGGCCTTTTCCAATCTATCAATTTATTATATGTCTTTAGCCCTGGTCATTTTCAAATTATATCTCATGGCCCTTGCCATTATTCTTCAATTATAACTTAAAAACCTTTGCTTTCTCAAATAAGAATTACCATCTCTAGATAAATGTTATCTCATTGGCCCTTGCCATTTTCCAATATCATATCTCATGGCCTCTTGCCCATTTAAAAAAATTTATATTGTCTATTGTCATTCACAAATTATATGACCTCTTGTCATTCTAATATCATATGGCCTCTTGCCATTTAAAAATAAAAATATATACCTTCACTATAAAGTATCACGGTTGGCCTGAGCGGTCAGGACACGTCCGCTCTCTTAAGTGGATATTAAACAAATGAGACAGAATCACATGTACTTCCGCCTAAGTAAATTGGCCAATGAGGTTAATATCCGTATTATAATTTTCAAGGGAGTGTTCAATTTCTTACATGTATGATTGAAATGTGATAAATATAACTGTTCATTTCTGTAAATGAGGACGTTATTATAAACACTATTGACATAAAATTGTGACGGGAAATAAAGTATTGGTCGATTACAATGTTTTAATTACAGTAACTTGAGTAAGTATTAATACTATTTTTAGTATTTATAGAAATCTGAAACATACATAATTCTTTAAACAGTTTCTAATGAGAAGAGTTACAGTGTACACAATACACCTGAATGTATTTTTGTTGATTGCAATTACTTTTTATGACCTTCCTCTAGCTTCAGTGATAATTGAAACATTTGAGAAGCTTGTTTCATCAATTTCAAGTGATGTAAACGAAACAGGGAGTCAACAGTTCGTTAATTTTTTTTTATCAGTCTTAAAACAATCTGCATATCGATATATCCGAAATTCCTAATGTTCATATTATAAAGCATGATGTATTTTTTTCCAAGTCATGGTTTATTTTCAAGGTTTCCCTTAGCAATTTTTAGATTAAGCAATTGAAATTGGTATCTTATTGTGAGCTTTGTCTTCACTAGCATGAATTAAGTTTATTGTTTCTTAAATAAAATATATAATTTTATCTTCGTATCGTTTAGATACAATTTAACCGATTTGAACATTATCAATGTTCTTACTTAACGTTCAGCTATTTATTCTGCGAAAGTCGTGATTTTAAAGGACATACAAATGTATATAAAATCTAAAGATACCTGTTAATAGGGGTCAGTTTGTTTTTACAAACCAAGCAATACATGCGTTGATTCAATTAGCGACTAATAAATACTTTTATCTTCACATAAAAACTGACAATTTTTTTTAAATGAACGATGATTTTCTCAATTTAATGTTGATCATCAAATCAAGAATCAAAAATCAATATATGTAATACAAATATTTCCTTATTAATAGGAAAAATTTAAAAAAACTTATTGAAATGTTTATAGAAAATAAAATATTTAACTTGTCAATAAACAGTTTAATAAGTTAATTGCATCTGAGATATGTTTTGTCGATTATCTTTGGTGAATAAATATTGTATATGGTTGATAGCCAGTGTATTTTTCGCATATTCTGATATGTTTTCCTCATTTCAAACGAATTTGCCTGTTTTTCACAACTGCCGCCGAATTTGCCTCAAATACCATGGTATTAGCCATTTTGGATATTCCTTTTTTACCCTCTCGAGCATTTTACTGCAAAAAATTTTCAGATATGAAGTTACATAAAAAAGCGAGGTAACGCGTATTAGTACATGTATCATAACATGATATATCTGTTAAACATATCCTACACTTTAATAAAAGAGAACATGCTTTATAAAATAAGCATTCGGAATATCAGAAATAGAGATTTGCAGATGGTTTTTGATACGACAAAAAAGTCCGCATATTTCAGGTTTCTACTTCCTGTTTGAATTTTAACTCAGTGTTGAAACTCTATTTCATTGAAATTAAACCGATTTCGACCAATAACGGTCAAATGATTGGAAAAAGACAAATAAGAATATCCATAAAAAAATATTTTAATCAACAAATTTAAGATGCCAAACTCAGAGCTTTAAATAGCGACAACCCATAATATTTTATCTTTCTTCATACTTTTTAAAAAATCAAAAAATTGGATGCAACTTTTACCAAATAGAAAATTATAAATGTCAAGGTTTAAAAGTTATATTGTATAATTAAGAAAATTTCAAAAGAGCATTTTTTCTACGTCCCGGAATAAAAACAAGTAGTGAAATTCGAATTTCCTTGAAAACTGTGCTGATGTTACAATGAGTAGAAATAAGTATTTAATATTGGGAAATAAGTTAAGTTTATAATATATTATATCCATGGCTATCAAAAAGTTTGGCTTTAAGCATTCCTGGTAACTCAAAATCAGAAAAGCGTAACTGACGCACCACATTAAGTTCACATATGTGTCCATAGTACACGGATGCCCCACTCGCACTATCCCTTTCTATGTACAATGGACCGTGCAATTGAGATCAAAACCCTTATTTGGTATAGAAATTAAAGAGATAATATCATATGAAAAATGTGTACAAAATTTCAAGTTGATTGGACTTCAACTTCATCAAAAACTACTTTGACCAAAAACTTGAACACGAAGCGACACAGACGGACGGACGGACAAACGCACAAACGAACGATAGGACGCACAGACCGAAAAACATAATGACCCTAAGTGGGGCATAAAAAGTTATTTTCATATTTTATTACTGAAATGTTATTTGTAGTTTCACTATGACTTGATAAACGTACCGAGAATATATATAGCGCATTGATTTTAAAAGGTCAGATTATTCTAGTGCTATGCAAAATCGTAAATGAACCAAGGCTTAACCAACAAATTACTTTTAACAGCATTATCATATTGATATCAGATATATTTTGGCAAAATATCTTAGCTTGATCTTGATTCAAAATTATATCATAATAAAAAAAATTATAAAATCAATTTTAATTTAACTATCCTGATTTGATAAATCTAAGAGAGTCATGTAAGCCATTTGTAACGATGTAAAAATCTGTTTATATATATATATAGGGTGTTGTTATGTCAGTTTAAAAAGTTATTTGAACAATCAATATCTTAAAACGTAAAAGTTATTTGGTCAAGTATTGTTCAGACTGGTCGACTATTGTTTATACCTTAGGTCGAGTACGGTTCAGACTGAAAAAAATAGGTCGAGAGCTGGTCAAGTATTGGACGAGTACAGGTCGAGAAAGGGTTAAGACTGTTTCAGACTGGTCGAGTAATAGTTGAGACTATTTTCAATAGCAAAGAGGAGGGTCAAGTACAAATCAGTACAGTCGAATATATCTAAGACTGAATCGAGTAATTTCAAGTAAAATTCAGACCAATTCAGACTGGTCCAGTAAAAATCAGTACAGTCGAGTATAGATATAGGTCGTTTCAGACTTTTACTGGTTTGTAGTGTTAGTAGAACCAAAGATTCATAATGTTGGCCTAACTATATGTACTATGCCATACGAAATATATGTACTATGCCATACGAAATATATAAACTATGCCATAGGTAATATATTTAATATATGAACTATGCTCTACGTAAACTAATATGCCATAATCAAACTTGAAAATTTAACAGCAGTGTTTTATTGTCTACAACAATCAAACGAAAATTTTTTGCTATCGGCTCTTTGCTTCAGTCAAATAAGAAGCTTAAATTGAAGGCCGTTTCCTATTCTTGTCTAGATTTGGTGCCACCTGTGCCGACATACATGTCGTATATTAGGAAAAGTCATCATAGCATAATTATGTTGCTCTGTGATATATGAGAAAAGTAAACAATGTTTACAAAATCAATCAAAATATAATTGGAGAGAATACTTTTAGACTCAAAGCGACATTGGCACGACGAAACGTGGCATTTCCATTTGTTTGTATATTTTCTTTTTTATCTTTATTACAAATATTGTTATTTGTCGTAATTACATGTAATTCAGAACATTTGGACGAACAAGCTCTAAACCTATTCATGATCAGCATCAAGCATTAATATCTTAGAACGTTATAAAAAGATATAACAGCATAGACAAATGTTCACACAATCACCAAGACAGATAACTCTATGGCCCGGCTACTGCAAGTTCATTTGCATATTGAAAAACTGCTTATGTTATTTTATAATTTCAACAGTTTCATTATTGTTCCAGCACAATATCGTTAACCGGACATCTCCTTGAAATTGTTCAACACTAAGCCGCCAAGCAATAATTTGAAGAGCAATGATGTTTATAATCACATTTTGTTTTGTTCAACTATTAATATTTCCGTTCCTGAAAACCACTACTTTAGAAACAGACAGAAACAAGACATAAGTTCTCTGTTTGTAAATAAAAGACAAAAAATAATGTCAACAGAAAATCCAGGAGAAATAGATTAGAGAAAGAACAATTGAAAAGCTTAAGGTGGTATATGTTTGAGGAAAAAAACTGCAGTAATCTGGGTATTTCCGTTTCTAAGAGTAGAAAAGCTGATAGCAATGATACAGCCAAGAACGCTTAACGTTGGGTTTAATACCATAAAAACTCTTCCATTGCTAAACGTTCTTCATTGGACCGTCAAATTTGGCAAATACACAGTAAAAAAAAAGGGGTATAAAAATAAGAGAAACTATCTTATATCGAATGGAACTTAATACCAGTATTGTATTGTTCATGAAGCACAAAAAGATTAGCACACATAATCATTAAAACTTTCGATTTAAAGATTTTAATATGATACATTGGCTACAGTAAACAGTTATTAAAGGTACCAGGATTATAATCTAATACGCCAGACGCGCGTTTCGTCTACATAAGACTCATCAGTGACGCTCAGATCAAAATATTGTAAAGCCAAACAAATACAAAGTTGAAGGACCCAAAATTCCAAAAAGTTGTGCCAAATAAGGCTCAGGTAATCTATTCTATACAGTAAATCTTTATCTGAAATGTTCCAGAAATAATTTGCAGTGAAATATTTTGAGGCATAGGGTTTCCCGTTTTTTATGAGTAATCGGTGGCAGTTTATTCTAGACATGTGAATTATGTGCGCTGATATTTGATCACGCAAGTTTATATTGTAACATTTGTATATGCAAATTGATAAATTAGAAAACGATATCCAATGCATTCTACTTTTCTTTGATTTTGAAAAAGCATTTAATCTATCTACAAAACAGTATACAGTCTTTTACATGCTTCTATAATTCAGAGAGGTCGCATGAAAGGATATCCCTTATGTTCCAAAATGTCTTTGTTATGTGTTGATTTTTTTGGGGCTATTACTACGATACAAATAAGTCATTTCCATAGAACATACCCAATTTATTATATTACATTATGTTGATAACACCACACTTATTTAAGATTGTTTACCAGAATTTTAAATTTATCTCTTTGTATATCAAAATTATTATCCGACTAATCGTCTCAGAATGAATAAAGTTGTTTGAATTGGGGAAGAGAAATAAGGTCAAGATATAAAATGTGGCAATCAATTGGATTTGTAAGTTACTGACTTGTTCAGAAACTGCTTAATGAAGGTCCAAAATAGTAGAATAACAAAAATACCGACATCCAAGGAAAATTCAAAACGAAAATTCCTTTATGAATTGCAAAATCAAAAGATCAAATACATCAAATGAATAGAAACAACTGTCACATTCCTGAATTGGTACAAGCATTTCCTTATGTAAAAAAAGTTAAACATTCCTTTTATCAAGCAGTGTTTATACAAAGACAGAACTCCAAACTAAAGTGACAGTAGAGAACATATGTAATTTATCTACTTTTTGGAATGATAAAAAAAATAAAGATTGGAATCACAATTCTTTTTACAAAAAAAGGAATGTAAAAAGTGTCTGGTGGTGTTTGTAGAAAATCTGCTGGTCTTCATTATCATTTCTATTGCGAAATACAAAACCTTTGTAGGCCCTTTGGACAATTTTCATAGTCAAATTATCCAGTCCCACCACCTTGTAAATTCTCTGTTGTCTGGCTTTTGATATACTTTTTTGTCATTTTTTGTTTTTTTGTCGTTTTTATTTATGTTGCATTGGCGTTTGTTTTTGTTGCACTTCAGTGTTTCTGTTGTTTCGTTGTTTTCCTCTTATAGTTGATGTGTTTCCCTCGGTTTTAGTTTGTAACTCGGATTTGTTTTTTCAAAATCGATTGATGACTTTTTACCAGCGGAACCACCACTTCGTGTAGAAATATTTTTATATGGAAGGTTAATAAAAATTTAAATATAAAACAACATAAGAAATCTCATAAAATAGTTTAAAGAATACAATATATAAACAGAACAAAAATACGATGCGGACAAGTGAAAAGTGTAGCATTAAATAACATATTTTATAAAATAACAAATAGAATAAAACCTACAATCCAACTGAAAGAACAATTAATACAAGTAAATTATCAAGTTCTTAAAATACCCTCCCGATCAAGGCTACCTAGGTTTATCATTATTATTTATTCATATGTTTCATTTCTAGAATGACTATATGTATCTTGCATTTACAAATGTAACTACGGGCTAAATAAACATATGACATCGATACAAGTAGTTTTGCCTCATAACGCATTACAAAAAACATAATTAAGAATAAAAGAAAAACAAGACATTCTTATATGTTTAAGACAATCTTTTTCTACTTTCAATTCTAAGTATTGCTTTTATTTCCACTTCATTATGCTCAACTGATCGAGAATCGTGCCAATCTCCGTACAGCGCTCGTTTCCTTTCCGTATACTCAGTACACTACAATACAATGACATATTAAGTGTAGTGATACGAAGTAAGTACGGAACGGATGTGAGCTCTGCGCCGGAGATTGGAATCGTGCATGCATCATACAAAACATCACATTGTCTGAAAGAAAAAGACAATACATGTATACATGTAAACATGCATTGCATCAATACAGTTATTAAATGAATATGATCGTTAATTCTTTCATTTTTCGATTACATTAATGTTGTTCTTGAAGAAAGAATAAAAGAATACAAGATCAAATAAAATAAAAGGTTAGTCTACTAAAAATTTCATAGCGAAAACGAATATTTTTTGGTTTAAACATCCTTTGGTTTGGATGATGTTAATGTAGGTACATCACTAATGGCAAGAAAGATTATGAATGTCAGTATTAACAGAAGATTATTAATGTATCGACTATTTTTTACTGTACTAGAACTACTTTTGAGTCCTACTTAGTTGTCTGTCAGCTGGATGTGGCACAAGTTAATTTTGATTTCATTTTTTTTTTCTACTTCAGGTTACTGTAATCACAGAATTGTAATGGCAATTATCCATATCTGTTTATTGCTCATTTTCATCATATATGTTGCAAGACCAGATGAAATAAAATGTCCGGTTGAGTTTTGTAAATGTACGAATTTCGAAGCAATCTGCTCTGGTAAATATCTTACTTATATTCCACGTTTACCAAGAAATATTCGCAAAGTTACTTTTCATAATGGAAATATTGGAACATTATCTGAAGGAAAGATCACAAACCTAACTTTCAATGTTATTGATACGCTTAGATTTATCAACAATAACATTGTTCGACTTCAACCTGACACATTTTCTACTTTCATGACAATAAAAGCATTGACCATCTCATCCGAACCAGCATTGCTAGCAAGAGATGTAATGAATATTTTGAACAATATGAAAACTGAACATGTGAAGTCACTCAACATATCAGACAACGATTGGAGTTTTCTTCCAGATGACATGTTTAAGGCAATAAAAAAGAATAGAATTCAATATATTAACCTCAAAAGAAATAGTCTTCGGCTGTTAAATTTCTCATGGTTTTCAAATATGCCTGACTTGCGTTTTTTGAAAGTCAGTTTTAATAAAATTGCAACAATTTTACTAGATAGTATTCCCAACCTGAAATCACTTAATCTCGACAGTAATGAAATAACAAACTTTCCAAACTTCTGTATAAATCATGGTAATAAGAGTGCACTTCCAAATTTAAGAAAGTTATCCCTTAGCAATAATAGAATTGGATATGTTGGAGAATTTCGATGTTTTCTGAGGCTTTACTCTTTAACAATTGACGACAATTCGATCGATAGAATTGACTACAATACTTTTGCAGAATTACAAAAATTAACTAATCTCAGTCTACAAGCTACAGGAAAACCTTTGAAAAAAATTGAAGATGGTGCTTTTAATTTACCGTCATTACAAATGTTATCGCTCCGTAATTGTCGTTTCCATTTTGATCGTCTATTACCGTCGGCACAAAGAAGTATGCTTTCAAATTGCAATGATATAAAATTCCTTGATCTTAGTTGGAATTATATAAAATCATCAATCATTTTGGCAAGGATGATATCACAATTGCAACAATTAAGATATCTTAATTTGGAAAACACTAGGCTTAGCTTTTCGCCTAGCAACGTTTTTCCTGAACTACCAATCATTGAAACACTTATCATGCGCATGAATCGAATATATGGATGGAACAGAGATGTGTTTGCTCATGTGACATCTCTACAATATCTAGATCTACGCCATAATTTGATAAATATAATAAACGAATCATCTTTTCCAACTTCGTTACTTAAAAATTTGAAAAAGATTGGTCTAGGAACAAATCCATTTGCTTGTACTTGTGAACAGATATGGTTTGTCACTTGGTTACGGCATACTAATATAACGCTTTTAGAATACCCAAAACAATATTTTTGTTCTACACCAGACAATTATAAGGGAAAATTGCTGAAAGATTACAAGCCTTCATATTTGTCGTGCAACTCAATCGTAACGATTGTTATTTCAATGTCTGCATTCATTTGCCTGTTCATATCGATTATGACACTTTTCTTGAAATGTAATACAAATATTAAGAATTTGTTATACCTTCTCAAAGTTAAACAGTTTAGACGACATGGTTATCTTCCTATTTCCAATAGCGCTGATTATGAATATCACGCTTTTGTTGTTTACTGTGATGAAAACCGAATGTGGGTTCATAACGACTTTGTTAAAAAACTCGAAAATGAAGAGGGATTTAAGTTTTGCATTCATCACAGAGACTTTGATGTAGGAGAATCTATCAGTGGAAACGTTGATAAATATCTTAAAAAGTCGTGGAAGGTCGTTGTTATTATTTCAAATGCATTTGCTAAAAGTGAATGGTGCCAGTGGGAGGTCGATATAGTTCAGGAGAGAAGACGTCGACAAGGCAGAAATGCACTCCTGCTAGTAATGCTTGAAAATGTCACCTCGAAAAACATGACAAGTCCTCTGCGTACTTTATTAGACAGCACTCCTCATCTGAGGTACAAAAAAGGAAACGGTGAAAATTTATTTTGGACTGCAGTAATTGAAGATCTTCAAAAAGCCGTCGGACAACCCCCCGTTTCTGAATTATAGAATATACTTGAACTTATTTGTGCCAATGTCAAACTATGTCTATAAATCGTTTTTGTTTTTTATCTCTCAATTAAGTCTTAGTTACTGCATGCGTTTTTGGTCAATTTATTCTTTTATCAACTTTCATATAAAATCATTTTGCATGTTTCATAGATATTACTTTTGCAATTATGTTTGCTTCAACATTTGTACATGTTGTAAATATTTACCGAATAAAAAAGTTGTTCTCATTGTGTAAATATGTAATGTCTCTGCATTTAAACATTGCAGAATGTATGATTCATGCCATGTCAATTATACAGGTGCCAAACGTTTTCTTTCTGTTGTTGAGTTACTCAAATACGATTAGTCGAAAAAAATGTCTAATGAGTGTTTGGGTGAAGATGGGGTATACAGTTGTGTTTGAAGACAACAAAAGAGTTGTTGGTTATAACAGGTGGCGGAAACTAAATATAAATAATAAGTTAAACCCTGTCAGCAGTTAATGGAAGCAAACTCAAAGTATTCAACCCATGGATCAGAAATTTGATACTCTATTTCGGTCGATGTTCATTATATAAAACTTTATATATAAACCTATTTCATTATCAGTACAGAAAAACATGATCTTGTTCAATGGCAAAACCAACTTTAAAGAAAACGAAAAACAAGCATCGTAGTATTGCTACAAAAAAATCATGGAAAATAACTCTTAAGTCGAAGACAACGCCATTGCAAAATAAAAATAAAGTATCGTGCGTTCGAAACGCCTTTCTGTATTCAGGTTCATCAGGCATGCTAAAAATAAGAAGTTAGAGCCACCATGTGTCATCAAAGAACCAACAGCACATTGAATATTTGAACTCAACACTGAAAACGAGTAGGAAAGGAACATTCAAACTCAAAGTCGAAAATAAACTGACAACGCCATGGCAAAAAAAGAAAAACGACAAACACAAATATACAAAACTCGCCATAGAAAACTAAAGACTTCATGAGCAACACGAACCGCAACAAAAAACTGGGAGTGAACTCATGAGTTCTGGAAGAGTATGCATATCCTGCTACATAAGGTACGCGTTGTATTGCTCACGCAAGTGCAAACCTAGTGATAGTTCTAATTTTTTATATTACATTCGGGAGAAAAGGACAATAAGAACATATCCAACGTCATCTGTGTGTATTTTATAACGGTCAACCAATTTGTGATGGCCTCCGTAAAATTTACGAAAGAATGATTTCTATATTACAGATTTACACGGGCAGAAGGAGTGAAACTAAGAATGCAAATAATTGAACAAATACGGATAAATTGACAAAGACAGACTTTTAGAAAGAAAGAAAAAATACATAATTATATAAAACAGAACACAAACACTTAAAATATTAGAAATAGTACTACAAAACCTCATTTATTTTTTTTGCGTTTGCCTTACGTCCAGTGACAAATATTTCATGCATTTCTAAGACGAAAACAAAGCTACAACACAAACAATAGTATGATTCTACAAGGTAAATGTTAACCGGACTGATACTAGAAAATCAGTTTTTGTTGCGTTGGATATAAATGTTGGCTAGAAACAGGTCACCTACAGAACAATAAGAAAAATATTTCAAAGGTTCTATATCGCTCAGAGGGCTTGCGCTTTCTCTTCTAGATGTATCGGATTAAACGTCAACTTTCTAGATGTATCGGATTAAACGTCAACTTTCCGACCAGATGTGACCGTATATTTATATATCCTACACTGCCACGGGTTTCCCCTCTTAAGCAGGATTTTCACTACTGGTACAGGTATGACATTTAGGAAGGGACCATATTGCTGTACCAAGGTCAATCCGTGGTGTGATAAAATAGAAAGGAACCCTTACACTCTGTAAAGGTTTCATAACTTAAGTATTTTTTTTTACTAAATGAAAATCAAATTACCTGAAGTGGAGGTAAAAGTTTGATACATTATAATATTCATTTTAATATTAAAGATTATCCCAAACTTTGGAAAAGTTTATGGATGCTAAAAGTTGCGATGTGACATGATAAATTCTTTATGGATTCTTAACGTATTGTTATCTACCGACAGAAAACTTTGTTTTGATACGATTTGATTCTACGTTGTAATTTATTTTTAAATTGATCCCTAAATAACTGCTTCTCTTCTTTAAAGTAGTGTTTGATGTTAACGCTTTAATGCAAATATATAAAGGATGTGAACCAAATAAACTTAACTGTAGTCGAGAATTTCATACTGTTATTAAATAGGAATAGAATTGTTTTGTATAAAAGTCATTCATTTCAGACACAATAGATACATTGCACCTACTCATATTTAATTGTCGCAATAGTTAACTTTTGTTCCATTGTGTTTCAAGTTACTTCCTGAGACAAGTTACAAAGTTTACAACCTCAATTTTTATGAAGATAATCATCATAACGAAGTGACCTTTAGTCTTCATACGCACATTAAAACAAATATTTTTCTACCATTATTAAAAGTTTAAAAGTAGATGTACATTACATATTGTTACAGCATACATTACAGTTTTTGGCTCCAAAGAAAAACTTATTACAATAAAAAAGAAAAATGTGTATACTGTCATTCACTCCTTAGCAATTTTCTGAACATTCTAACGTCAAACTACAATCAGATTATTTCCGTGATGATAGTACCATAAATACTTCATGGATTATGATTTTTAAATGGGCTTATTTCGCGGATGCTAGTCCTGACACACGTGATGTGCGCGCGGCATTTGCTCTAATGTGTTATATTACGTTATCAACTGGCGAGAGAGTTAAAATTGGGACATTCAAATGTCGAAAATAAACAGAAACCTTTAAGCTGTACAATAGGACTGCAAGATACCAGTGAACAAGTTCAAATGAAATCATCTCTTTGAAAATTTTATAGAGGCCATCACGAATTAGTTGACCGATATCGAAAAACCTTTTTATGTTTCTTCGATACATATATGACGTGGCTCTGTACTTATACATCCCGTCATTGTGTTATTGTACTATGGTAAATTTGTGTATTCTTGTCTTTATTTTTTGTTTATATGCTTGGTCTATATGCCATTTTGTGCTTCTTTGTTACATATTTGGTTTTTTTTGTTTTTTTTTTTGTTTTTATCTTTTCAGTGATTAAGATTATAACACAATGTTGACTGCTGTACCCCTATTTTTGACATATTTACCTATTATGTCTGGGTTTTTTTTTTGTTCACGCATCGTTTTTCATATAATGGAATTCGATGCGACTGTCATACAAGTGAGAGGTTTAGCTAGCTATAAAACCAGGCTCAATCCACCATTTTCTACATAAGAAAATGTCTGTACCAAGTCAAGAATATATGACAGTTACTATTCATTCGTTTAATGTGTGTTGTGCTTTTGATTTTGCCATTTGATTAGGGACTTTCCGTTTTGAATTTTCCTCGGAGTTCAGTATTTTTGGGATTTTACTTTGCACAGATGACGACGAATATGTTACAATTGTTGTTACCATAATACCCTCATTTTTTCATCGAATGTAACCTACATAATTAGACTTATCACCGGGTTTGTACTAACGTGATTAATACGACTGGTGCCACATGTTAAGCAGGATTTCATCACCCTTCCAGAGCACTTGAGGTCATTTCAATTTCCTTTTAGTGAGGTTATGTTTAGTCAGTCTTTAGTTTTCTAGGTTGTGTTTTGATTACTGTTGTTTGTCTTTAAGTCGTTTTGCATTTTTTGCCATGGCATTGTCAGTGCTTTTGACTTATCAGTTTAAATATTCCTTGTTATCTTTCGCATAGGTTTTCCAATGAAATATGTCAATCTATTAATCGACATCTGTCAAAGTCAAACAAATGATGTTTTCATACACATTCTTAGACTTGTTCGTCTATTCGCCGCTTGTTTATTTTTTTTAAATTTTTTACCATCATGACCATGACGTTAACAGTTCTTTTTTCGACTTGTGACTTTTTAATGTTTCCTTGGCATCTTGGTATCTTCCGCCTCTTTATCAAAACTGATAAGATCAGCATGCCATTTTATACAAAAGTCCGATATGTTTTTTAGCTTTACATTCGGTGCAAAATGACAGGTTGGAAATTAATAAATCAGTTTAAGAAATAATTCTTTCATGCCATACTTTATGCTCATTTTAACATGGGTAGGCATTATATTTGTCAATATCTTTATACCGAGCGTTAGCGAGGTGTAAAATATTGACAAATATAATGCCTACCCATGTTAAAATTAGCATAAAGCATGGTATGATAGAATTATTTCGATTCTGATTTATTAATTTCCAACCTGTCATTTTGCACCAAATGTAAAGCTGAAAAACTTCGAAGCGGACCTATAATACACGTTCGAAAGGCAGCCATTTTGATTTAATGAACCAAAAACGTTATAGAAAATCAACAGTTCCACGATAACAAAATTAATATATATATGTAAAATTACTATTAGAATGATTTTGATTAATTTCCTAGCGAGCAACACCAACAAAAAGATCCATCCAGCGTTTATTCAAAATAAAAGTAAAGACTGACGTTGTAATATCAATAGTGACGTCAATCACGTGCAGCCCATATGTTATTGTAATTAGAGCATGGTTTTGTTTCCAACGCGAAAGAAGAACGTCATATTAGAATAGATTATATGTATTCAATCGGGATTTGTATGCCAAAAAATACTAAAACAAACTACACAGAAAATTACAGAATGTTCAATATGATACCACCACAGGGTACATGCTTAGCTGTAGATTGAGATTGCTGTACATTGGCTAGGGTGAGCTTAACAATCACTAATATATCTATTACTTTGGCCTTGATACCTTTCAAGAAGCCTACCACACTCTTAGATAATAGTTAATGCACATCAAAGGCATCCTCATATGGCACATAATTTGTCAGAAGAGAAATAAAACAGAAGTTTTATAATTTGCAACTCTAAATATTGTAAATGATAAACAATACATTTAATTATACCTTACTTATACTAGTTTTGTTGATACAGCAGTTAATTATTTGAAATAAAACTAGAGTCTCGGTCGCTCACTTAGGTCTATGTGCATCTTCAACAATGGACACACTCCAACATTATGAACCAGAACAGAATTGACAGCAATCTCTTATTTTGCTTATCATTTATTGTGTTTACAGTTTCTCCTTATCTTCTTTACTTTTTGCCTTAACCACACAAAAAAAGGGTATAAAAATTGTCATTTGAGCTATCACAATTCGACTTAAGC